TGGGGGAGGGGGGTAGGGCTAGTGTAGTGTGCTAGCAAGAGAGAGAGAGAGAAGGTGGTGGTGGTGGTATCATAACCGGAGGCGCCTCGGCTCCGTCTGTCAGCTGCCGACCACCGGAGTGTGAGGTGCGGCGAGGCGGGGTGCGGTGGGGCGTGGCGGGGTGTGGCGTGCAGCAAGGGGAAGGCCCGAATGCTGCGGCCAGCAGCGCCGCGTTGTGCAGTGCACTCCGGCCGGCCCCTTACGTTAGGAGGCGGGGGGTTGTGCGGTTTGCCCACGCCCCGCCCCGCCCCGCCACGCCCTGCACCGCGTATCACCACGTCTGCCACGCTGGCCACCGCGGTACATGCGGGGGGGTACAGGGCGCCGGGGGTGCGGCCGCCACACCGCACGGCTGCCGAGCTGAGTAGGGTCACTGTTGGCTAAAAAGTAAAGGGCGGCGAGCAAAAAGCCAACACCACGCCCCGCACCACTCCCCCACACACAGGCCCGCGCACGTCCGTACCGGGCGGGGCCCTCTCCTCTGTCTCCTCTCACCTGCGTGGCCCGAAAGCCGTTTACTTCGTACGAAACCGTTAACCTCACTACAAAACAGTTCACTTTACTACGAAACCGTTCACTGTATACTACAAAACCGTTGATTTACGACAAACTCTGTCGCACAGGCTAATAATAAGACGACATCGGCTTGACCTGTAGGCCTTTGATTTATCCAAATTAACCATGATCATTGAAAGGGAGTTTGAAAATGTTTTATGATGTGGCATTCGGTGGCATTATGATCATTTTTCATTTTATAAAGATCAAGTTTTCATCGAATCAATAAAATCATTAAGAATTCATAGTCGGCCGTCCGACGAAATGCTTTAACACAGTGTGCCAGGTGTGTGTGTGTGTGTGTGCGACACATTCCACTCCACGTGCTTTAAATACGTCGCGCGACTAACTCCACGTCGTTTCCGACGTCCAGCGCGCGCGCGTCCGTCCGCCCCCTCCCGCCTCTCAGCTGCTCATCCCCCTGACCTATAATCTGCCGACATCAGCGGCGGGCTCCCCCCCCCGTGTGGCTTGTAGAGAGTCGTTGGTCCCGTCCGCTCACGGCCGTGTGGAGAGAGTGATCGTTCGGCGGACGCACCGATTGGGTTGGCGTGCCGTCGCGACCGCTCGCGTGAAACTTGATTGGCA